ACGTTGCTCGGTAGGAGCCAAGAGCTTCCAACGCCGCTTGAGTGTCGGAGGATATTTTTATTGACCTGTGTATGAGGATGGATTTTTCCAATATTAGTCTAATCAACAAGTTCAAAAACATTAAAAATAGAGATAAAGGTTCTAAAAATATGAACGATAGCTCATTCGATTCGGAATCACCTCTAGAAAAATGTCCTTGAAGGATTTTGGTGCAGGTAGAAAATTGCAATTGTTATAAACAAAATAATGAAAAAAGTCCGTTAAAGAGGAGCAAATTTCCGATAAAAAAGTCCCGACTACCGAAACTCTATCTCCATTATTTATAATTTTAATTTGACGTTGAAAATAGGGTTCCGCGCGGCTGTTACGGCATGCCCGCGGAACCATATCAAAAGAATCAAAAGAAATAATTTTTTTATAACCTAAAATGTCATTTTAAAAATTTGAAAAAAATCTAATATCTTCTCAACACTTGAATGAATCGAGTCCCGTTTTATCACCATTTTTCAAAGAGTTATTCAATTGTTAACTAACAAATGTTTTCCCAATCTCCGTTGGCATAAATAATGGGATAAAAGGTATAAATAATTTGGCCTATAAACTTTAAACTTCGTGTAGTCCTTTTGATATATATATACTCCATACGATCCTGCGATGAAAGTTCATAAAAATGTATTAATCTGTTAATTATGATTTTTTATTTTAATATCTGCCATTGTTTAATGTGAAAACAGACATACTCAGCTAAAAAATGTTGTCAACAATTTTTAGATATTTCATTTTGCAATAGTTGTACAAAATCATAATTAACAAATTAATAAATTTTTATGAACTTTTATCGCATGATCGTGTGAAGCATAGATTTTTTTCAAATTTTTAAAATGACATTTTATGTTATAAAAAAACTATTTCTTTTGATTCTTTTGATAGGATTCCGCGGGCATGCCGTAACAGCCGCGCGAAATCTAATTTTCAACGTCAAATTAAAATTATAAATAATGTAGATAGAGTTTCGGGCACTTTTTTATCGGAAATTTCCTCCTCTGTAACGAGCTTCCTTCAAAACTGCTTGAATAATAATATTTTTTGAGTTATTAACGAAAAACTAAATATCTTTTTTTTATCTTATTTCGTTTATAACAATTGCAATTTTTTACCTGCACCAAAATCCTTCAAAAACATTTTTCTAGAGTTGATTCCGATCCGAATGAGCTATCGCTCATATTTTTACGACCTTTATCTCTATTTTTCATGTTTTTGAACTTGTTGATTAGACTAATATTGGAAAAATCCATGATGATTAGACTATATCTCTGCACACAATTCATTAGCGTTAATTTCCGTTTGGAGTAGTCATATAGGTTCCTAGGCAGGTTGATATCTCTGTCCTGGGTCTGCGGCTGAAAACACGTGCACCAGAACCGGAAGGTGTTTTTGATCCATCTGTGAACCAACAACTATCTGCTCTTAATATGTCCAACTCCTGTAGGATCCAGTTCTCTCTACTCGGGAACAGTACTTTATGTATGTAAAAGACGAATCAAATCATTCCATTGGAATGAAATAATTATATAAATTTTTAGCCAGATCACCTATAATGAAGTCGCCCCGGAGCGCCAATTAATTTTTATTGTTGTTTTTATTTTATTTTTATCATTGTTTTAATTAGAAATAAAAACCTATAATTATTCTTAGTGACTTTTCCAACTGTCTTCTGATATATTCGAAAGTTTTTTCTTTCATTTGACTAATTACTGTACTCGTCAAGTTTGGTGATGTATCTCTGGCGTTGCAGAAAGTTATAGTTGATCTCCGTAACCTCTGACCACCATAGTCTTTTCCTGGTGTGTTTTAACTTTGGAAAGAATCCACTTTTCATCACACATGAGTATCCGATCCAATAAGGACCGGTTTGGTTGCGCAAAAGCAAAGAAGAACAGACCTCGAAAGGTGACCATTTCTGTCGATTGTTCACATCTTGGAGAACCCACTTTTCGAGCTTTTGACTTTTCCAGCACGTTTTAAACCATCAAAAACCGTATGGAAGCTGACACCTAGATATCCCACCATCCCACGCACCGTTTGTGATGGGTCAGTCTCCACCAGGATCTTCAAATCCTCATCCTGAATTACTATTTTGCGATCACTTCGAAGCTCATCTTCGGGGCTGAAATTTCCCTAACGAAATTTCTTAAACCAACGTCGATCAATGCGTTGTGGCTGTTTAGGCAGCGCTTTGGTTTAATTTGAGGAAAATTGGTCGAAAATCTTCGATATTATAATTTGTTGGAGCTGTTCTTTGCCATTCAGGGAAAGTACTACAAAATACCTACATAGTTGAAACAGTTTAGTTTCAAGTAAAACTGAATGAGAATTTGTAAACTGAAATAGTAAAACTAATTGAAACTAAGATAGATCAGAAATGTATACTTTTTTGCGGCCCTAGCTTTGAAGAATTAGGTTCATATAGGATGATAAACTTCCAATACCCAGAGGAATATTGCAGCTACTCATATTTCCACCAGCCTTGCCGTTATTGTTTAATGCCATCTCAGAGCAATTCATATTGCTTCCCAATTCAATGTGTCTTGTTTCAAGTACAGAAGAAAAGAATCAAGCTTTTCAAAAATGCTCACAGGAAACTGCCAGCATTTTTGAAACTAGACTCGAAGTTATAATGGTCACAGTTGATTCATCTCAGTACCTTCTTCAAGATAGTACCTTTCTCTATTGCTTAAGAACAGTCCGGCTTGTTCATTTTTCCATGAAACACTGTAGCCTCCTGCATTTGCAAACTATATTGTTCTCTATACCAGTTCATTCAGGTCCATATTTTTTTCATAACCTACAAGATGTTAAGTTGTCCATAGACTGCCCACCTCCTGTTCCACTGCTTCACATTCGCATAAAATATGACGAGCTGTATCTCTTTAGCATTGCCGCAGCTAGGGTCTTCGACGTACGCTCCTGTTTTGTTCAGGTGTCTTCAAAATGAGCAGTATCCAATTCTTCAGTTCTTTTCTCAAATTATCTTCAAAGGTTCTCCCGTGTCCATTCCTAGGTATATTTTCCCAGTACCATTTATATTTCTCATTGACCCAATTCCTGATTTGCTCACACTCCATAAATTTTGGTTCCTCCACAACTATCGCAGGACACTCTCTCTCTAGCACACTCATAAGCTTATTTGTTGCCTTCAGTAAAAAATCAATATATTCTTGCCCGCGAGCTCTTCCAGTTCTTCACGATATTTCCTTAGTATTGTCACTGTTGGCCCAAGTGCAGCCTTTGCGATCTATAGGACTAGTGACCTGCTGATTCCTCGTGCATCACAAACAAATTTTCTAAAGATGATCTCACTGGTTTGAGCAGAAGGCCTCAACATTCCAGTTGATGATGACAAATGGTCGTATTGAAGTGAAAAATTAAGGCTCACTCACAAAAGGCGTGGTGTGGTTCTATATCGAGAGGAAGCTGATTAATCGAATGCCATCGTTATCCTTGAACGAGAAACATATTTTCAGAAACTTCAATCAGTCATTCAGAATGAAAACCTTACTGTCATCAAAAAAAACCCAACGAAAAATAGTCAAAATGAACTGAAAAATTTTCTCTCAGGAATCAGAGAAACGAAGAATCTCCAACATGAACCCCTTTTGCCCTAAACTATATGGCCTGATAAAAATACATAAAGAGGATAACCCCTTAAGACCGGTAGTTTCGTATATAAAAAGTCCAGTAAGAGAACTAGGAATACGTCTTAACAAGTTGTTGAAAAATATTACCAATTTCGTCCCACCTCACATCATTAAAAATTCATTGACTTTAGTAGAAAACATACGGAACCAAACCACGCCACATGATTCAATTTTAGTTTCATTCGATGTAAAGAGTATGTTTTCCAACATACCAACAACGAGTGTAAGTCCCTCATTTCAGATATATTAGATCAAGCCAAAGTAGACCATATCACTTCCTTTGAAGTTTCAACAGCTTTCGATGTGTGCTTGAATCAGAGCTACCTACAGTTCAACAACAAATTTTATAAACAGGAATCAGGTTTACCAACGGGCTCACCCCTTAGTCCACTTTTAGCAGACATATTTATGAACAGCTTGGAGACTATAATAGTAAATTCCGACCTGGGTAAAAAGCATATTCATTATTGGTACAGATATGTAGATGATATTCTCGCCTGTTTCAGAGGTACTACACGACAGCTGAACCAATTTATGACATTCATGAATAATCTCAATAGCAACATTCAGTTCACACTCGAAATAGAGATCGAGAAACAGATAAATTTCTTAGACCTGACACACAATCAGAATAAATTTGAGTTCAATGTTTTCAGAAAACCCTGCTATACTGATATTATCATCCCAAGCGATTCTTTTCATCCAGAAGAAAAGCTCTCGCTCCTGATCTAAATTTACAGGGAGGTCACTTGGAGTCGTGAGCTCGACATCCATCTCCTCTGTACACCCAGTGTCAGAAAGAATTTTTGAATTTACTCTGTCCATAAAAGTCCCACGAGTAGGTAGGGAAAGAAGGTCAATCACGTCAGAGCTCCGCATTACCGTGACAAGGCGATGCTACGACGAGATGGCGCCCGGTATCTCGAAGGTTCCGTAGAGACAGCTGATAGGCTCAGTGCCATTCATCCTACCGGCACGGATACACACACCTTAGGATTCAGTCATCGTTGGTAGCCCAGCTGGATACGGGAATTACAGAATCACCTGTGGTTTTGTTATTCCTTAACTGAATGGCATCTCAACGATGGCATAAGGACCTAAGTGTAATATTGAAAATACTGTAAAATTTTTGTTCAACCCCATATAATACCCCCTCAACTGATGCATTGCTCAGTCGCCAATAACCCTAGAGGTTGATGCGACTTTAAATAAAGTAAATTAAAAAAAAACTTTCCCTAACTTTATCTACACATATTTATTTGCAGGGCATGATGTAACATTTCGAAGAGACAATCGTCAGGGATGTTGCACCACTATAACTACTCGACTTCGCTTAGTCATTTCTTGAGTTACCATCAGTTGGAGGAGCAAACTCGGGAAAATGATCAGACGACTCCAACTTTATGCGACGACCTGACTCAGGAAGAAGATGGCCGATGCCGTAGTAACTCTTCGGCTACAAATAAGTCCTTTACAATAGCTGCGATATTAGGCTTGAATGGTGATAGTAAAAATATAGGTGAGTTAAATGAATCATTGCTAAAAATAGCGAAGGATGATAATAATGATGAAAACGGGGAAAACACGGATAAAATACTAATTGCTACATTTTCCCCTCGAGTTCTATTATCCAAGTCATAGTGCCATTATGCACATCAAGTAAGTAACTTAGCAATGGCGAATAATGAAGGACTATCAGGACTGCACCTTCATTTTTCTCTCATCCTACAATGTGACCCATTTTTAATGGAAACACCCCCCTAAAATTTGAATTTGTGAACTGATTTCAATAATTTTTTTTTTGAAATGTCAAGTACTGAAAGGTCTACCTTGGGACATGATTTGAAATGTTTATTAAAGTTTCAGGGCATACTACGATATTTTTTCTTAGGCGAAAATCGGGATTTTTTATTAGCGATTTTTTTATTGAAAAAATCACTACGCCACTGGATTCAGAGTGCCTCTAAACAGGTGTGACCAAAATTTCATGAGAAAATATTCATTATTAACAAAGTTATGACAACTCAATAATTCGAAAACTCACACAGCTAACAGTTACAAAAAACACCCTATATCAACAGATATAGCCATGAGAATATTTTTTTATGATTTCAACAATGAAGTGCCGCCAGATGAAAAAAAAACAAATCGCGTAAATATTTTTAAGGAAAATGAAGGAATTACATTCAAGTTTTCACGCAAATTAACTAAAACTAAGACCTAATATTTCAATTTAAATCTTAGTTGCCATGGAAATGATATTACAGTTTGACACTTGTGAAAGATTTAAGTGTACTATTGTCAACAATATTCACCTTACAGTTCTTCGAATTATTTTATGTCATGGCTGCAAGATTGAGCGTAAGATATGATATATTGTGAGTTTTGAGTTGTCGTAACTTTGTTAATAATGAATATTTTTTCATGAAATTTTGGTCACACGTATTTAGAGGCACTCTGAATCCAGTGGCGTAGTGATTTTTTAAATAAAAAAATCGCTAATAAAAAATCCCGATTTTCGACTAAGAAAAAATGAACATTTCAAATTTTGTCACAAAGTAGACCTTTTAGTACTTGACATTTGAAAAAAAATTATTAAAATTGATTTACAACTTCAAATTTTAGGGGGGTGTTTCCATTAAAAATGGGTCACACTGTATATAACAAGCTGAACCTTTTTTTTTTCATTCAAGGAAATCCATCCACCGATCTTAGCGTTGTGAACCTATCAGTGCATCCAGTTGGCCCTGAGAGGTCGCTGGTATCAGGTTGCAGCAGATTACAACTTCCTGTACATGGAGCTCCAGCCGTAGCGACGGGCCATTATCCCCCCGTTGGACATGGATGCCCACCCTCCAGACAAACAGGTAAGTGTCTATGACCTGTTGTTTCAAAGTGTTATATCATCCGAACATCTGAGAAGATATATAACAGATATCGGGTTTCTTTCAAAAAGTAATCCGATCCAAGTTGAAGTTACGAAATAATATCATTGAATAAACCGTATGAGTGGCTCTACTTAATATTTCAATAATTAATTTGCAAGAAAACACAATCTCTTCATTGATCGATAGAAAATACTCATCTTTACGGTAATTGTTAATATGTTCCAGCAAATCCAAGGTTTCCTTCATGATTTTCAAATAATTTTTTTCTCTGAGTATTGTTTGTCGTCATGATTTCAAGCAGACTGGAGCCTGGCTTCAATTACCCTTTCAACTGATGTTCTCTCTAAGTACTGTACATATTTCTTACGCCAGATCAAGTTTTTCGAATTTGAGCAAAAGTAACAGGTGATAAATTAAAAGCAAAAACATTTTTAAGTACAAAATTTCATTCACCAGTCAGAAAGGAAAAAATAAACTTCAACTGACTGAAACCCATGAATTTATTACCACTCGGCAACGTTTTCTGCAAATATATTTAGAATTCTGGCATTATCAATATATGTTTTGACATAAATGCTATAGATGAAGTTTCTGAAATCAAGAAAAGAAAGTCGTCTTTACAAAAGTTGAATTTAGGACTTCGAAACTGGTAATTAAAATGAAAAGGATTTGAATAGTCATATATTTTCAATGAGAGAGGCCCCAGTTATGACCCTTGTGAAACTAGTGTTCATTAGTCGACACCATGAGTATTACCTGTGATTAGTAAATCCAATGGGACCAATTAATGAGCTCTTCCACTAAGACAGTGATATTTTTTTCAAAATGTTGATGCATTTGTTGACCATGATTCACAGATTTCGTTCCATCGATCTATGACTTATAACCATCGTTCATGAAAGATATCTTCGAAGAGTAATTTGTTATTGGTGTTAGGAAAACGATTTCCTAAAAAGCATTCACCTATAACAACTTCATGAAGTTATATTGCTCTTCAATTTGGTTTATTCAGTATACCTGCAAAATTCGACAAATTGATGGAGCAGTTTTTATGAATCCAGAAAAAGCAGAATACTTTTCAGTGATATCGTCATCATGAATGAAAATAGAGTCAAAAATATCTCCCGTATCCCACGACATCGCCCTACTGCGGTGAAACCCAAAACGTCACCTCAACGAAAATATTTCAGTTGAATTCTCTATTAGTTCTTCATCTATCCTATCAATTTTCAAAATCGCCCTACTTTCGGTTTTCTATATATAAATCGCGTTAACTCGTCAAGATATACCCTGTACCTATAATGTTCGACAAAGTAATGGATCAGTTCCCATGAATCCAGATAAAATAGAATAGTTTTCAGTGATACCATCATCATGAATGAAAATAGAGCCAGATAAATATCTCCCATATCATACAACATTGTGGTAGCATTTAAATTTGATAATCTGGTGATTGTTTCAGTGAGGGGAACCTTGAAGCACATGTCATCGAACCTCCTGCAAAACAAAAAAAGCTGCAAAAGTAAAAGAGTTCGGACGATTTTCACTCCGGAGCAACTGGAGCGACTGGAAGCCGAATTCGAAAGGCAGCAGTACATGGTTGGTCCAGAAAGGCTCTATTTGGCCCATACGCTTCAGTTAACAGAAGCCCAAGTAAGTAACTTCAGAGAATAATAAATATTTGTAGAGATACTGAGGTTACTGTGGCGCTTAGTCGCCATCTTGAAAGTTTCATCTATCAATTTTACTTCAAAATAGAGCATTCATGCATTAAATTCATTATCTCAAATTTCAATTTATTGAGTTGACCCGTTCAAAAAATAAAACGGGGGGCATTAAAGAAATGCCCTGTTTAATACATACTATAACTCGACCCCCGTATCTATTCAAAAGAAAAATGCCCAGCAGAATAAGTATTGATTTATGAAAAGGTGTCGTCGAACTTCATAAATTCAAAATTGTTTCAAATGTTTCAAATTTCATATCAAAATGTAGATTATTGGAACTTTTTTCATCGTGACCATACAACAACAAACAATACATTTTATCTACACACATCGGAAAAGTCTGGGGATATTTTTAAAAATGGCAATAAATTTTTTTAGATCGCTTTAGGGAAAAAAAAGTTGACGGATGATTATTAAACGAATGTAACTCACAACAAAATTTATTAAATGGTCAAAAATATTGAGTGCGCATATAAGCAAAAAAAAAAATATGGCTCTTCTTTGGCACCCCAAAAAAAAATCATAATACAAAAAAAAATTGAAATCAGTACAAAGTATGGCCTCCACGCTGGTTTATTACGGCCCTACATCTATCGTGCATCGACAAAATGAGATTGTCAATGTCTTGTTGAGGTACATTCGCCCATTCAGCGATTAAAAGCTCTCTCAATTGAAACGTTGTGTGAATGTTCCCCATATGCGGAGTAATTCTTCGTTGAAGCATGTCCCACACATGCTCGATGGGATTCAGGTCCGGTGATTGTGCTGGCCATGGCAATACATCAACTCCTTCGTTGGTGAGCTAGTCAGTCACTAGACGCGCGACATGTGGACGAGCATTATCGTGCATTAGGTGGAAGTTTTCACCAACAGCACCAGCAAACGGACGGACGATAGGTAGAAGAATGGTGTCGAGGTACTGTCGAGCTGTGAGGGAGCGATTTGGGAAAACGAGATCGGTTCTGCCGCCGATCATGATTCCGCCCCATAGCATTACTGTACCACCTCTGAACGTGTGGACTTCCTGGACGTGTCTCAAACGTTCATTATTTCCAGGTCGTCTCCACAGTCTTACTCGACGAGAATCTGGATGAAATCCAAATCTGGATTCGTCTGTAAACAAAACTGTGGCCCAATCATTTGCATCCCAGTTTTGATGTTCTTGACACCACTCTAATCTTCTACCGCGATTGCCTCTCGACAAAGGTGGACATCTAACTGGCATTCTGTAGTGGAGATCTGCTTCATGCAGTCGATTTCTGACAGTATCACGACCAATGGTTACCTGGTGCGTCTGCTGCAACACGTTAACCAACTCAGGTGCTGTGATTGTCGGTTGTCTTCTTGCGGTTAAGACCAAAAATGTGTCTTGAACTGCAGTTGTAGCGCGTCCTCGTCCTGGATGTTGTTCGGCTGGACTGCCAGTTTCACGGAAACGCCGCCACAATCGACTGATAACACTTTGGGAGACCCCCAAACGAAGAGCTACATCATTTTGTCGCATGCCACCTTGAAGAAGCCCTACAGCTCTATTCATCTCAGCCAATGGTAAGTGATGGCGTTCCATGTTAAAGCACAATATTTCCAGTTTAATTGCTGAGCAAGAACTGCATAGAATGTACAAACTCGACACTTTCAGATTATTCATTTTAGCCGAAAACCTACAGTTTGTAAAAAACTTGATAAAAGATTAGTTATCGTTTTTGCAGGCTTTGTTCAACCCATAGAAATCTACAGGGTGGTCGAAATTTAATCGAAATTAAACGACCTCATGCATTTATTTTTATGATATTTAGTATGTTATAAAAATATCCCTAGACTTTTCCGATGTGTGTATTAGAGTAGGATTATCATAAGATATATATCTAAGAGAGGACATGAACATTATGAATAAATTCAAACACTTCTCATTACCTAGGAGTATACCTCCTTCCAACAAATTCCTAATCTCATCCTATTATCACCAAACCATACCCCTAACTGTTTACTGAAAACCACAACCCATTCGATAATTAATCGTTTCCGCTTCCAGGTGAAGGTGTGGTTTCAAAACAGGAGGATCAAATGGCGGAAGCATCACTTGGAATTGACACATCAACGTCTCGCGGTTCTCAAACAGCAACAACTCCTTCTCGACGATGCTCAGCCAGACGTGCAAGACACCAATAGTTCGGGAACAGATACGTGAGCCTCATCTTGGGAAAGGGGAGAAACGCCGGGGCGCTAAATGTGGGGTGAGGGATTAGATCGAGTGTTTTCAATTTGTACGAGATGTGTTTGTTGGGTTGGAGGAGGAACTGTCTTTATCCACTCGGTTTCAATTCCAGTGTGAAAGTCTACTTGAAGAATGAATTATCGATTTTATGAGCCATGTCATCGAGGAATTAGATCTTCTCCATGGAACTGGACAGGGTTATGGATGCATTAAGTTATTTCCGGTTCGTTAAATATATCCCAGTCACTGGAAGTAACTCATCTATTGAGACCACTGCCCAACATCCGATTATGTCCGCCAAGTTGATCCCTGCAGAATGGCACCTCTAGTTAGACCGATTTGCAATATGAACGGAATTATATTTATTTCCTGTGATTCGCTGAATCTGCTGAGGCCCCACGATGGCCTATACCGACCTATAAAAGTTCCCCTCACTCCCTAGATGAACACCACATGGAACATTCCGGAATCTGTAGGTGCGTTTTTCAGTCACAGTGCTCAGGTGGAATGATTGATTCCTCGTGGAATTGGAATACCTACCATTTATCTCTGGGCTTCTGTTGATCCTCCTACGATCCTCCTTTACTACCAGTACTGGCCTTGGACATTTTCTGCTAATATAATTAGGCCAAGCTCTTAGATCATCGTCATTTTCCTCTCGTTTCCTCATCAGTAATCCACAGAAAATTCACTCCCTCGCAGATCAATCATACGGCTGTAGCACATATCGACTGCCAAATTTAGCGAGCCCTTGGGATTTATTTTATCTTTATTCCTCGGATATGACACTTCGATCTAGAAAAACCCCACCCTTTCTTTACACTTGGTGAACTCTTTTTTGGAATACTATGAGACATATTTTCCAGAAGTCATATGCCGATGCCCTAGTTTTGCAGCTGGATCTCACTTTCACACCTAACTCCGCACTCATAGGCCTTAAGATCCCCTGTGGTTGTTGTCGTCATCACCCATATTGTTCACAGAGGGCAGGCAATAAAATTTCATGAGCATATAGTTACTTTCAATCAGAAGATAAAGGGAATTAACATGAATACAGTATTAGCTACCTGCATTAAGATGAATACGAATAAAACTGATAGAAACAAAATCTACGACAGTATCTACTGCAGTGGTAAATGAAATGACAGAAGTAAAAACCTAAGGACAGCTGAAAACCTTCTGTTTGTTGTCCAGATCGCAATTCAAAAGAGTTCATGATTCTTCAGTAATCGTTTTTGCTGGTCTTTAGAACATTATGCAGTATTTCCAGTACTTGACCTCGCAGTGTCAAAACTGATGCAGCAGACTTTTTCTTTTACAACCTGCCATCACTTTCCACAACAAATGTTCATTGTTTTTCAGACTTCTAACTCATGTAGGCCTTGTTGCTGTTCGAGTTGGTCCGTTAATTTATTCATCTGTTTATAAACATTTTCTTCTGAATTCTTCTTCAATACGTTCGTGATTTTTTCGTAACTCCCAGGTTTTCTTATTCTGTCATTTTGCATACCCCATTCCGTGCTTTCTGTGCACCTACTGCCGCGAAAGATGTTTCAGACAGTCGTCTTATTCCTATTTCTTTTTCTCTTCTTCTTGCTTCAACTGTTAACGACGATGTTGGTTTCAGTATCTTCTTCTTTTATTTCTTCCCTCTTCATTTGAAACCACACCAGTTAGTTTCAAAACATCTCTTGCTCCTTTTTTATATTTATTGCTTGCTTTCATGCAGCTTGATCCCTTTTTGGTTTTTTTTCTTGATATGACCTGAGTTAAATCTGTGTTTTCTGCCATCCCATGTTGGTTATTTATCAAAGAATCTGCCTCAGTGTTCTTTTTAGGTACCTCTTTTTATGTATCCACTATCACAGCCAAACTTGAGTTGAACCTTGTTGATCATAGACGAGCTATGGATCAGATATATTGAAAGTATCAGATTTCAAAATTCAATATTCAACCGAATTTGGTAAAGTTTCAATGGGAAAATATCAATTACCTGAACTGGAAAACCTCTGTACAGATGGAAACACTCATTGATTTCTTATTGTACATAACTGAAATACAATTTGTAAATATCTGTGATTTTTATTGGGTCTGAACTTTTTTCTTCTCACTAGACTTTCACTAGAGTTTCACATTTTTGATTTACCTGAAACGGAAAAGGGTTCAGACTCAATCTTGAATGTGTAATCCGTAGTGCAAATATATACCAAAGTCTATAATTATAGTATCAATTTGTTGTTAAAACTAGTAGTATTTTGAGAACGCAGGATTGTGATGATTTTCAAATAAATACCTAGTCACTGATTCTGAGATTTTTTTCACTAAACCTTTCGGTTGGATGAGAATTCGATTTATGTCAGTATAAGACACGTGGAGTATGGAATTATTTTTCACGAGATATTCAATGAAAACTAGGCAACAAAGAAATTTCATCGGACAAAAGTGGGGGGTAAAAACGTAAATCCTCGCGTGATAATAACTTATATTGCGGAAAATCACCAAAATTATAAGTTTTGGGTATAAGGAAGTGTATCATAACTATGGCTTATTTTCATAATAGAATTGAACCTTAAGGGAACAAAATGGGGGTTCCCATTCGAAAAAGTTGAGATTTTTTATTTTTCTCATTCACTTATTGGACCCTAGTTTTGGCGCACCCTATGGATTATTCAGTAGATGCGTGAATGATGCGTGATCCATTCAACCTTCAATTATCACGATTCACTATCACTGTGGCCAGTATAAGACATGTCGACAAAATAGTTATTTTTGTATAAAGTGGCTGGAAATCTGCCTCCGTAGCAGAAGATAGTTTGAATAACAAAATAGAGATTTCTAACAAAATATTGAATTGTCCATGTTCTTCCAAACACATTAAAATATCTGAATAAATTGTGGAATCAACTCTTCAAGAAATTTCTAACGTTTCTGATCAGCAGCAATATGGAACATCTTTGGGAATTTATAGTAATTATTCAAACCTTACTATTAATAATTATTCCAATAATTGGAATAAGTGATATTTTGACAGTTATAAATTAAGACACTGTCATATTTGAATTTTCCATGTGTCCCCTTTCCATAGATAATTCAAAAGTAGGACTTTTGGTGTACTTCAAGGTCCTAATCGGAGTCCACGTCTGACGTAGTTGATTTTGGGGTCAAGTAAATGATCAACACCAAAAGAAAAAAGTTGCTAAAGGTGAAGAGCAATTTGAAATGTATTCTCTTAATTTGTTACAGGGCAAACACGTTCGAACTTCTGGTGATTGACATTATACCAGTTCTTTCAAATCTTGCTTTTAGAGCCTGAAATGCCCTTCCATCTAGTTGTCTTCTTTCGGGGAACTTCTCTTTGTAAATCCTAGAAGCAAGGAGGCAGTTTCTGTCACTTTCCCCAAAAGCATAGACCATTTGCACTTTATTTTCCAATACATAATTCTTAATGAAAATGATTCAAAATACACGCGAAAGAAACTTCAACACATGGCGTTATTGACAAATTCCGAGAATAATTTTTTGATGTCAGTCATGGATAACTGGGTTTTTAAGAAAAAAGAAGTATAAATATTCTTTCGGTTTTTTACGCATTTCTTACCATTGAAAACGCTGATAACTATCACTAGATAGTATGAAAAATGCGAATGTACTAGCGATTAGTTTGAATATTCGAAAAACAAAGGTAAGTGAACGTAAGAAAATAAATTTTTTTGTGGTTACAACAATGATTAAAACTTGGTATAATTTGTAAAATATCAGTTTTTCGTATAGTATACTTCTGATAAAAAATATAGTGAAATGTTAAAACATTTAATTTTAGCAATAAATAGGCTTTATTCATTGACATACATTGTTCATGAAGAAGATGTAGATACAAAAATCAATGAAAGGGGGAAATTCAGCAGAGGCTGTTTCACAACTTAACCTAGGGGATAGCATTTATTATATAGAAATATAAAAATAATTACCTAGTATACCTACATTGATAAGTGAGTAGTTGATGAATCTTTGTAAAATAAACAAAGCCTATAAATTTCAAAATAAACATTAAAAATCTATTTAGCTCAAATAAGGTAAAATATATAGCAAAACATACACAAAAGTGGGACAAAGGGAAAACCATATGAGAAAGGCATAACATGAATATATTACCTATCCAGAAAACTTCAGGTGTGTTCTCAACTTTTTCTTGAAATTATATATGGAGTAGTGTCTAAATTCACTGGGCAGAGCATTATATTGTTTGATAGAGTTGTAAATAAAACTACGAGAAAAGCAGGCTGTCGAGTGATTTGGAATAATAAAAGTGAAACGGTTTCGTGTCCTCGAATTATTTGAGATTTGAAAGTTTTATATATTTCATCAATATAATTTGGCTTTTTGTAAATGAGGAATTTATGTGTGTTGACGAGTAGGTGGAACTGCCAAGTTTTAGCAATCGGTAACCAACCTGACTCCTCGAACTTGGGGGATATATGGTCTAATTTTCTCACACCATACAAAAGACGAATGCAATTGTTTTGTATTTTCGTTTACGTCAAATTGTATCAAAGCAGGCCCGTAGATTATATCGCAATATGCTATTCTAGACAATATGAGGGTTTCGCAAAGTTTCAATTTCAATTTCGAAGTCATTTTATCTCTACTTTGGTAGAGTTGACGTGAAATACTGTACGAGCTACGACAAAGTGAATTTATATGTTTGTGAAATCTCAGATCAGCATCTAGCCACAAACCCAAGTTCTTGCTTTCTGTAATTATTTGTAGTAAGTCTTGTCCGATTACGATTTCAATACGATTGAAAAAATACAGGGCGTTCTTTTTGAAAAAGTTGAATTATGTCTGGTTGACAGTGAATGAAACTTGACTGATTTTACCGATCACCATATATATTTTTTCCGAAAGTTGAGATTCCAGAAATTATCATAGTGATGTTGACTAACTATTCCTAAGAAAAATTCACTTAATTGTTG